AGAGAAAGCAAGCATATACCTTTTCACAGTAATTTTTTTAAAGCAATTATTGCTTTAGGTTTCAAAGCATACCACAGAGCAGCAAATAAATGAAAAAACAGGTACTTTTCCCCAAGGATGTTTTTACTGTACATTTTGTAGCAAAAAAAAAGAGAGAAAATAAAGGAAAAAATATTCTGATCACAGGGATGTAATTTTCTATAACTCCAAGTAAGAAACATGACGAATACAAGATCAATACACAGCCATGTCACAATATATCTCTGAGCCTTTAAAAAAAATATACATAGAGTTTTTCACGTGTTATTTTCTCTGTGCCTTACACCCTTTCTCCACATCTTTAACAAAATCATAGGAACAATGTGCAATTTCAAAATGTTTCCCAGCAGCTGAATGTTGGGAACCAACAAATAAATAAACAAAACAAGGACAGTTGCAGTAGCCACCGAAATGCCGGAAATCACCGTAAAGTCACCAAGAATAACAAAATCAGTTGGGTGGGCTTGAGCATTTGCAAAACTACAGAAATGCTCACCCAAAAGGAAGGAGAGAATCAGTCTGAAAGCCCTAGAGGTGACCAGTTCCTAGTTAGCAAGTACTTTAGTGAGGGTGAGGGACCGAGGCTTAGGAGTACACAGCCTGTATTGCAAGGGACACAAGGGAGACCCTACGTTCTGAAACATCCAAATTAAACTCATTTTCCCTGTCTAACTGGGAACATAATCCCCTGAAAAAGCACAAAACCTGCATTTCCTGTGATTCTTCTGATACGGTCAAGCCCTGTTGGGCAACTGTACAAAACAGCTCTTGTCACAACAGAGTGAAAGTGTGTGCTTTACTGGTGTCTTCGTCAACTGAACAGAGAGCGACAGCATGACCTTTGCCAGAAGCAATTGGTATTCATAATGTGGAGAATACAGGGGAGCCACTTTTGTTTTCTCTTCCTTTCTTTTTTTTCTTTTTGGATATGAAATTTTGATTACTATTTTCCTATCTTTGATAGCTAAACTCCCACAGATATCAAAAGCTGCTGCAGTCTGCCTTGTGCATTGACAAGCAGAGACTATGAAGAAGATGGAAAAAAAAAGAGGATTTTTAAAATTTACTTTAATTAACCCCTAGATTTCATTTGTCCTAGGATACAAAGGAGGTGGGTTATACAGTACATCAGAAATTTGATCTTTGTATGTATCCTCCTTTTCATCAAGGGGATTGCTGAGAAACTGAAAATAATACACAAAAACTCACGGAAACATACTTTTTGCTGCAGGGTAAGGAAACAACCCCAAACCAGTGACAAGGCAAACAAAATAAAAAAAATCATCAAATCCCAACCAAAAGCCCACTGGACAGTAGGCATTGTTATTTTCCCAGATGTCACTGTTAACGCCACAATATTAAGCTAAACATTTGCTCTGATCTGTCCCTCTGGATGCCCTGACTGCACTTTTGAGAATGTCACTTCAGTAACAGCCAGAGACATCTTAGCACCAGTCTTGTATCTGCAGAAGTATATTTCTGAGGTTAAAAGAAGAGGGTGGAAAAAAACCCCAAACCCTTCACAATCAGATTTGTGCTGTTAAGCCCACCTCACCCTCCTTGTTTAATCTTGTTTGTCGGTTCACCAAGAGGCTGAGAAACTTTTGGAAAGCAATGCTAAATACAACTAGTAAATTCCTTGAAACATTCACGCATGGTTTAGTTGGGGCCAGATATGAGTGGTGCCATACGTGCCTATTCACATTTCATGACCTTCTTCCTCTTCATCTCCATGATTTATTTATTTGCCTATCTTTTTGGCCGTTATGACTGAGAACTTTCCCACCCCTCTCTTTCCAAATACATGGCCCTGCAGCAAACCATGCTTTATGACACATGAGGTGAGGCAAGAGAGGGAGACACTGGTATTTACACTGTGCTTTCCATTACCCATTCTGAGCTCCCAAAAGTCCCTTTAGCCCCTATTAGGTCATTGTCATCGTACTGCAAAAGCATGCCGTTCACTGAGAGGCTCCTCTTTGTCCAAATGTTCGTTATCTTTTTTGGATAGGTGCAGCACTGAGATGTGGCAAAGTCCCCCATGTCAAAAGAATGGCTACGTTTAGTTTTGCCCTCCAGAGGCAACATGAGGAGGCTGCGAAATTTGGACTCCGCTTGGCCCAGCAGTGGCTCTTTGTCCGAGTGGCGGGCCACTGTGGAAGTTCTGGAGTCTGTTGCATCCTCCTTTTTCTGACATTTCAGTTCCAGAGAGGCAAAAGCTCCCATTAGCCGGTCAATATTATGTTTTGACCTGGAGGGGGGCCTCCACTTACCGGACAATGTGCCCTGTTCGCTTTGGAGACTATAGTCATCACAGTCGCGGCTATTCGCAGAGCTGGAAGAAGAGGAGATACTGCTCCGCACGGACTCACAGTTAAACTCCATAAGTTCATTTCTCACCACCACTTTGGGGTTGACTTGGGGCAGAACTCCATTCTGAACTGGTTGTGCTCCATTTGTCTGTGAGTAGACATTGCTGACATTGGACATCTTCCCCTGGGAATTGTTGCAGACCTTGTAGCGGACCATGAGTATAATGATAAACACCAATAAAGTTGCCACAATGATGCCTCCAATGATCAGAATCATGGTCCCACCCAGGAAGTGGCTGTGCATGGACTGACACTGAGGATAGTCTTCTTTGGTGAAGAACTGGGCGCAGCCCACAATGTTGGTGGCAGTAAGGGTCGTAGCTGTGTCATCCCACATTGCCAGGACACAGAGGTCATATCCTGTCCCAGAAACAAGGTTGTTAACCACGAAGGCCTTGTTTGTAGCAGGAATCATCCTTTGAAAAAACAAAAAAAGAGAGAAAGAGAATAAAATAAGTTACTCTTGACATGCAGGGGAAGGCAGACATAAGAACATCATTTTGTTTATTGTGCAGGGTGCTGGCAGAGACGAGTCAGAGCTATGAAGTTCAAACATGCGTTCAAACTACCCAGTTGCTGTCACTCCAATATATCAGCATTTAGCATTGCACAAGTTTTCAGGGCCATCTCTCTAATATGCAATAAAGGAAAAAAGAAAAAGCAGTCAAAACTATTCTGTTATTTTTCTTTCTCCTCATCTGCATCTATACTTATCTTAAATGTGCCTAAATCTGAACAAATGATTCAAAAAAAAAAAAAAAAAAAACCTGCCTGCAACGAGCAGTTATGAGCATGCAAATGATCTTTGCCTTTGCTGAGTCTGAACCTGGCAGCTGTGCCATTGCTTCATGGGTGCCTGAACATTTGCTTTGTAACATCAGCAGGTTGCTTACCTTGTCAAGACAAGAGGCTACATTCAATCTGCACATTCCCTGAAAATGCATGGCGAGCTGCCACGTCTCTTTCTTTCCCTGCTCCCCCTGCTCCTTTCCTCATCTTCCTACTTCCCACTACGGAAAATGGCTCCTAGAAATGCAGATATCTGCTTTGTCAGAGATTTCTCCTTGAAACCACCTTCCTTTATTTGCATCAAAAAGAAACACTGGCACTTTGAGCTATGGAAGTGAAAGGAGAGCTAGGAAGATGCCTGCCAGGTTGGAAATGAACTGTTTTTTTTTCTTTTTTTCTTTAATGTACCCAAACCAAAATCTAGTTACAGCAAACTAATAGATAGGCCCAAGTTGTTCTCCAGGTTTGGTCATTTATGAATATTATTCTTTGCTGCCACAAAACTTAAGCAGTCATTTGCACCCATGCAAGGTTAGAGTATCACTAGCATTCAAAATTAGCAGATGGTAATCAACATGGTTTACCCCCACTTCACAGTGGTGCAAACTGCAACACACTAGTCAGGACAGTGGAGAATCTCAGATTCAGTGTCGGATGGGAGGAAGAGAATATAACTAAAGAGATATTCTGTACCTTTTTCTCTTCCCCATAATAATGGGTCTAAGTGAGAGAAAAAGGTTGAAATAATAATAAAAAAAAGGAGCACCTTCTGACTTAGAGCTGCAGATCTGTAGCACCAGCAGCAAAGTAACCCATGAGGCACTCACACCACTGCAGAAACTGGTGTGAGTGCAAAGGGGAAGGTAAGGCCTGGCACAACAGGTTCTTTGCCTCAAACAGCCATCACAGTTAGCATAAATTACAGCACTCCAGAGATCTTTCTGTGCAGCGGAAGGGAATGTGCCTTCACAGAGAAGCACTGCTAAGACGAGCTTCTGGTGATCCTTGCATTTATTAGTTCACTTACACTTACACACCCCTCAGTCTGCCCACAGGAGAGGATGTGGCTCCTTTTTTAAAAAGGAAACAAATAAACAAAGACTTTTGTAAGTAAAAGTATCAGCGAAAGATAGCTGGAATGAAAACATCACCTGAAAGGTTTACTTAATGTTATATTTGAGATCTGTGGCAAATTTACTATCGTAGTAGGGACATTCTGCACAAAAAGAGACGAGCTTTTCAGAACGAGCCGAGAACACAGAAAGCAGCCCTCCTGGGAAGCTCCATATACATTCGTTGAAACAGTTGCTGATAGTCAAAATGGTTGTTCTGGAGTTATTTCTAATTGTTCTACCCTCCCTGTGGCTCTAAGGACAACACACTTGGGGCCACAGTAGCTGGGACAACAATTGTGCTCTGCTGAACTGTCCAACAGGTTTTTTTGTACTGATTGTTCTGTTAACTACTACTATATTTCTCTTTGTATGAACTCTGTCCCAGACATTACTATAATTCATTAAGTGAATTACACCTGTATTTACTCCCACCTGTAAATAAGTGGTCCAGCGGGTTGACAATTATGACTAGGATCTTGGTCATAACTCTCAAAAAACAGAGTTATAGCACTATTCGTTAGAATAGTTCCTCTTGCTTCACACCAGTCAAACAAAGGGATCCTTACATCCTCTCCAAGCAAGCAGCAAGTAACTGGGTTTATCTAGTATATAGCTTTCTATATATCTTAGGCAGAGAGAAATACACTAGTTCAGCTTAACACACCATGCCAATTTATATTGGAAAGTATCAGTAAATACTGAAAACTTTAAGTATTTACAACTTGTTCTCTTCAAATATAGATTGCACACAGACTTTCAAGGAAGTGTAACTGCCTAGAATATTTGCAGGCCTAGCAATCAGTGGGAGTAGCACTATAAGGCCCGTTCATTTTTGCAAGCATGGCAGTGATGCAAAGATGAGTCCTAACGCCTGGCTAATTTTGATACTAGCCATAAAAGCTCCTGTTAGCCTTCAGAAGAAACAGAGATTTCTAAACTCAGGCAGGCCTGGCAGCTACAGCTCTGGTAGTACTGGAACTAACAATATGTTTATAGTGGAACACAGTTGCAATGCCAATATGGAAAAAGTAATCAACTCTCCATCTAGAACAAAGATTTTTGGGTGGTTCTATAAATAAGCTTCAAATGTGCTTGTAAAATATTCAAATTAATGTTATTGTAAAGAACAGTTGAATGTAGATGCAAACACCAAATTCAAGTATAGTAGGAGTTAAGTAACTAATATCAAAAAAGCTTTCTACCTTTGAGGGAAGACTAGACTTTTTTTGATGAAATTGCCAAATTGTAAGATCATTTTGTGACTCTCTTCCAGCTTGAACCCACCCTTCCCAACATGCTGCCAGTCAGCTATGATGGATAACAACTCTTAACATTCCCCACATCTAAAATCAATGCAGACACATTTTCACTCTGGGATATTGATGACTCTTTGATTATCCCCAACGTGGGTAGCTGCAAGATGCCATTTCAATCTTTGGTTTACTCTATCACAGGTAACTCTTTTCATAGATGTTCTGTACTTTAACACCATTAATCACTGAGGACCATACTCTGCCACTTTGAATCAATACTAGGAGGTAGAAAAACAGAGAAGGTCTTTAAAATAGTGGCTGGTCAGCTCCTCCAAGAGTAAAACACAGAAAGATGGGTTCAGGTAGCAAGAACCTCTTGTCCAGTTCAAAATAGCTTTTGAAAGCTGAGAGCTTTTAAACTCAGAATATCATTGGGCTCACAATGCTCACAGCCCTCACATCAAGGCTCTTGAAGCAAAGGGCTTGATATTGTCCATAAGCTCTTCAAGGCAGTATATATGACCTGGTAGAGTTGCTTCTTATCACCGAACTGGAATAGGGACCTCTAGTACACATTAGCCTTATTTAGGAATAAAAGAAATGGCTGACTAACTCCATGAGGAAATCAATGAGTGAAGCACTTGCTTAACTTTAATCTGAGATTACTATGATAGCTTTTAATGTACACAGTTTAAGGAGTGTACGAATTGTAAGCATTGGAAAAGATTACTCAAGGGAAAGAAAACAAATACTCAAGCATAAGTAGTGACATTTAAGAGCAGAGGATCTAAAAACAATCTTACTTCTACATGTAGATAGACAATCCACCTAACAAAAGGGTGTTTGAAACTTAATTAGAACAACAACAAATTTGAAAAGCCTTGTGAGTCTTAATTCTCTCCCTTCTGAAACTTCACTGCAGTCCAGACACATATGACACAGCCATTTCTGTCTTTTGTCTCTATTTTATTTTCCTTGGTAAAGGAAGAGCAAGCATATTTCCTCCATGCTGATGTTGGATTTTTTTTGCTGGTAGTTAAGGTAGTTGCTGAACCATATCAGTGAAGATCAAAATATATCAAGGAAAACCATTCATAAAGAACATAGTCTGACTTCTTTGAAAATCTTGCCTTTAAGGAATGAAATGAACATGTATGTCCTACAACTAACCTTTTTAGTTCTTTTTTTTTTTAAAAAAAAAAAAAGCCCTCTTCTCTCAAAGGCACAATGACATCATTTACTGAAAGCGGAGGGGAGCTACTGGTCGAGATTGGAGCATAGCAAAAGTGCCTGAAATGAAACAGCAGTAGATGATCCTGTAAGAATTCAAGTGATGGGAGCTGTGATGGTGAGCTGGCAGCTTGCTTGGCTTTTGCAAATAATACTTTCCCTTCAGTATATAGATTTGTGTCTTGTTTTCTGAAAGCATCAACGTGAGAGTTTAAGATCCATTTTTTTTTAAAAAAAAAGGAAGCATAGTTTCAGCATTCTTCTTGAATTCAACTCTACTTTCTACCCCTACCATTAAAAAGTCCTTCTTGTGTTCTTGAAGATATAACTTATGTAACACATGTAAAGCAATTTTGTAAAAACTCTCTTCAGCTTGTGATGATAGTAAGAAAATTAGAAAATAAATGATTTAGAAATGCAGGAGAAAGAAAAAAAAGAGTTGTTGTTGTCATAATCCCAGATGCAAGTATTCACGGAAGCTTGCACAGAGAGAACTGGGCTCAGAATTTGGGAGACTTGACTTTTATTCCCTACTTTATCAGTAACACTGATATCAGGCTCTACTTTATCAGCAATTCTCAGTTCCTGAGAAATCATTTTGCTGTACTGCAAGTCTCCTCAATTATAAAATGAGGATAAGGCCAACAATTTCATTTCAAAAGAAGCCTGTATATGCCTATATATGGAAGAAAATCAGTAGATAATGTGATTAAGCCGTAATACACAAATGAGTTCTTTTCTTCTTTGTAACACTGGAGATTAGTGAGAGTGAACTGCTAGTTAATACCGTGGTTATGCAAAACTGGCGAATTAGAGAAAAGACAGATTAGACTAATTGGTTAGGAAATTCTGTTCCTTTCCTCCGTCATATGAGGAGTATGATATTATCTAGTCTTTGCCCGAAACTGGCTGCTTTAATAGAGGATTTGCCAGGAGCTTTCAAGGCATTTTCTTTGGAAAGGAACTTGCATCACCCCAGATCCAGTTTTATGTTTATCCACTAGATTATGATGCTTCTCTCAAGGCCCT